AGAGAGAGAGAGAGAGAGAGAGAGAGAGAGAGAGAGAGAGAGAGAGAGATTCTAAAGTAGTAAAATATTTAGCAACTAGCACAATTACAAACTAAATATTTAATGATAAATCTTTTGATAAAAATGATTATAAAACATGATTTAGTTCTAAGAATTATAAATAAAAATAATTTTAAATTAATTTAAAAAGTTTATTATTTAAAAGTTTTATTTTAAAAGTTAAGTTCCTATGAGTTTTTACGAGTCGTTTGTTTAATAGCAGCTTAACCGCTATCTAGTGGTCAATGGGATAATTATTAAACATTATCACTTTTTATTTGCATTTGCACATGTTCATAACAACACTGGTTGATACCAAGTACTATTACATCACATTATATTTGATATCAACTTCTAATAAACGCAAAAGTTTTTATTTTAACCAAGTTTAGTGTTTATTTAATTATATTAACTACAATACGGTATGTATTAATAATAATCATGTAGATTTACATTAATGCCTGTAAAGTCAATACTAAACGTATTGTAAACGTATTGCATATTATGTTTGTGTAATCATAACAATATTACTAATTATTACTTATTTATTACAATTAGTGACGAAAACACACATCAATACTAAATGAATGGCCGAAACATTCACTTCAGGCACTGATAACGAGATCGGTATGAATGCAATGCCGGTCCGTAAGAGACAATCGCCGGACAATAACAGTCTGAATGAGACCACAAGTAGTGCGGGAACTAGCGATACGTCTGGCAGCACATCATCGCTACCGTCGGCGGACTCAATGGACTCACTATCGGACGAGAGATCTACCTTTAACTCTACCGCTAACGGGTCAGCGCAGGTCAATAGTTTGCAACCATGTTCAATATGGCACATCTCATTGACATGGGTTTCCATCGGGCTGTGCGTGTATGACGTTTACAGCGATTACGCGCGGGCTGTCAATTATGGCCTCGATCAACATTATTTGTAACATTAATTGAGTGTACTTTATATATAAAGTATTATATTTATTAATACCGTATTTCATGGCTTATTATTAAAGGTATTGCGCGCTGACTCTGGCGTCCGCACTGACACCCTTATGGATTATAACAACAATTATACGGCACAGGGATGACAACAATACCAGCGACCACTTCCCTGTCTGGTCGAGCGGACACAACACCCTCTCGCCAGACAACGGGGAGCCGTCCACTGGGTTTGACCCGTTGCCGCCCCCCGTCTGGTATCGCTATACACGCACTTTATTAATGTGGGCAAAATTGGCGCACATTCAGCGATATATCGATATATTACTCCACGGACTCAACTCCAGGCAACGATCTAGGTCGCGTGAATCGAGACAAATGAATTTAAACGCGGTGCGACACAAAAGTACCGAGATGACCACTTTAATGCTCATGGTTTGTTTCATGGGGTCGGCGCCTCAGCTCGTGCTGCAACTCTATATTGAGGCTAAGGATATGCCACAGACCATCAGTTTGTGGACTGGTATGCGCTGCCCCTATTTAAATATATTGCATGTTTAATTAATTGTTCGAATTGATCATGCATAAAACAGAGGTGTGTATATTGGGATCGTTAGTGGCCCTCTCAAAGTCAATGTTGTCGTCCGAGTTCATACAAATGCCCAACATGCACTTGCAGGTATGTGCGCTAAATTACCACGTTATGTATAATTACAATATATAATCATGAATAGTTATTTAACTCGTGTCTACTTATATTCTATGTAAATGCAATCGCTGAATGACCCGTATGGCGCAATTCTGGATTATCATGCTCATACGACCATGGCAACCATATATTATTGTATAGGAATATTTTGATCATTCTCAATGTCTATTTTACCTCATAGTGGCTCGTATTTTAGCCCTAGCGCTGTTTGCCAGCGTATTCCCGTTGTACCTGGTTGCATTTTGTTTCGGCCATTGGCTAATTATGTTGGTCTCGATAGTCTTACTTAGAGTTACCTCGTTGAAAGAACTTAGATCTACAGCCTATTTAGCCTACGTGCTTATATTTTGTTACCATAATCCACGTGGTAGTAGTAAACTACATAACATGCGATCTATATATTACATGTTTGTATTTATTGAGAATTGTTATTTAACGAGTGTTTGGTACGGCCAGTGTCCGGACGATCGGTGGTATAAAACGGTCGCAGTGTTGCCGACTATATCGAGCATTTATATTGGACTCAACGCTATTGTAAGCGATTTGTGAAAAGTAGTGTATATTTTAAAATTTACAAGCTTTTTATTATAGTCTAGTATCATGGACATTTGGAAGCGTAGCACTGGCCCGCCGGCCACTAGCTCACCAAGTTCAACATCGATGGCAAATACTGTATAGTGTTCAGTAACGGGTAAATAAATGATCAATAATTAGCACAGTGGCTACTCAGGCCAAGTGCCATAACAAACGGTATTAATTTAACGATTAATTGTTTTTATATTTTTAAATAAAAATATTTATGTAGTTTATAATGAATACTCTCAATGAAATGAATTATATCAGGGAATTGTTATTATATAACATTTAGCTCAATAACATTATGTTCATTATTATTTAGGCTTAATTTTATTTTTCATTTATTGCATTTAAATTCATATTTTGTATAATTTATAATTTTATTTTTAAGTATGATCAATTGATTTTATAAATTAGTAAAATTATTATTATTAATAAAATTTTTTAAAACATATTTACTGTTTAATTAAATAATATATTAATTGTAATATTTTTATGTACACTGTATTATTATTTTTATAAACAAACTTAATGTTTAATCTTAATTTATTTTTAAAATGATCATGTTTATGTAAATTATTCTTCATTCATTTATATGAAATTTATTTGATGAATAAAAAATTATAAAATGATAAAATGTTTATCAACCAATAAAAATCAAATCAAAATATCTAATGATAAGTTATAACTTATAATTTATAAGCATGTTCTAAAATAAAAATTAGAAATAAAAAAGTTTCAAATATTTTGTATTAAAAAGTTTTATTTCTAAAATTTCTTAACTCAAAAGTTTCTATGATAATATAATTGATTTAATCTATGACCACGAGATGGCAGATGTGTTTAGCATTACAATTATATGCCAACTGTATCACTATTTATTTGCACATGTTCATAAAAAACAACTTTTGATATCAACAACTATTTCATCACAAAATATTCATATTTTTATCTAACAAACGCAAAAGTTTTTATTTTAACCAAGTTTAGTGTTTATTTAATTATATTCGCCTCCAATACGGTATGTATTAATAATTATTATCTAGTTTTACATTAATGCTCGTAAAGTCAATGCCAATAGTACTGTAAATGTATTACATATGATGTTTATGTAATAATAATAATAATACTAAATATTACTAAATTATTACAATTAGTGACAAAAACACATCAACACTAAATGAATGGCCGAAACAATCACTTCAGGCACTGATAACGAGATACCTATGAATGCATTGCCGGTCCCTAACAGACAATCGCCGGACAATAACAATAGGAATGACAGCACTAATAGTGACGAAACTACTGCTATGATTGCCAGAACATCATCGCCACCGCCACTGCCCACAGGCAATGGTCAGCAAAACAATGCGCCGGAAATTTTCGCAAACCGGGGCATATTTGAGGCCATTCGCCGCCTTATTACAGGGTGGACCCAATCTGCACCCCTGACTCAGCCCCCCAGCGAACTGCCCCGATCGGCCACACCATTTTCGGACTGGGACAAATGCATGGCAATATATTCCATCGGGGTATACTTGTGGGACGTGAGCAGCGATTTTGCCCTGGTTGGCAAACATTTATATAATCATGATTGGTGGTATTGTTTATACTGTTTATTGTTTATAGTTACTGTATATGTTCTTTTGTGACCTTTATACTAATTCATTTAGCTTTGCCTAGGTATTTCGGACTCACCTTGTTGTTCGTACTGTTGCCCTCGTTGGTTATGACATTTATTATGCGGCGCTGGTATTACCAGTGGCAGTACGGCGGTGGGACTGTACAGTCCATGTACCCTGCTCCTAATGTTTATATAAGGCATCTGAAAACGTGGGCACAATTGGGGCCATATCAACGATATAAAGAGATATTGGACCATGGTTTAAAATCGAGAGACCCAGCTAGGTCATCCCAAGAGAGATGCGAACATTTAACCGAGTTGTATTACAAAACGTTAGAAATGTCTCGTTTGAGACTCATTGATACCTTCGTGGAATCGGCGCCTCAGCTCGTGCTTCAACTCTATATTCTGGCTAAGACTAGCACTGAATTACCTGATATTTTGACAATTGGATCTGGTGAGTAATTTATATTAAATTAGCCATGGTACTTATTGAACATTTTTATATTGTACACAAATTGTGTGCCAGTGTTGGGATTGGCGGCCATTGGCGGCCCTATCGTCAGCATTGGTCAATTACGAGTTGGCCCCCTATATGGGCATGGTACGTTTTGTTTCACCCACCGCACAGCGAAACTATGACAACATGAAACATGAAGTAATATGATAAAATCATTATTTTACAACTATTTAATATTTAATCTTACCTTGTTTATAGGAGTCTGCCGTAAACTTTATCTGGCGACTTTTAACAATAATGGCCCGCGTTTTAGCGATGGCACTGTTCGCCAGCGTATTCCCAGTTTACACGTTTCTGGCTTGCTGCGGGCATTGGCTAATGATGTTCGTCTGGGTCATTTGGATCACGCTTAAGTTGGAACATCTAATAATAAACAATCAGATTGTTAGAAATCCCAGCACTAGACTCACCGAGTTCACGTGCAAAAACTATACAAGTGCAGCCTGTTTAGCCTACGTGCTGATATTTTGTTACCACGATTCGTGTGGCAAATTAACCGGTCAGCAAGTTATTTATTATCCCATCGTGATCATAGAGAATTGCGCATTAATTGGCTTGTGGTACGCGTATTGTCCGCCCGGTCTGTGGTATACATGGCTGGCATTGTACGCGCATTTCGGATGCTTTATTATGGGCCTCATTATTATGGTAAGCGATTTGTGACGAGTGGTGTACTGAAAATTTTTAAAAATTATTTTAAACATGATATTTATAATGTAAATGCTTTTCGATTACAGGGTGTGTATTATATTTGGCTGTATCGCCGCGCGGTGAATGTGGACCATGTGACCAATGCGCCCGAACCATGGTGGTATATTTGCGCGCATGTTGAAACAATTAAACGCCTATGCAACTCCCGGGCAACCCGAGCCAGGTAGACAATATTGCAAGATCTGAATTAGATAATTTAAATAGTTAAGATTTTTATTTAAATCTACATTTACACCCGAATAATAGCGGGCTGGCCAACTTTCGTGTTCATTTACCAAATAATTTGAATCTAAATTAGTACAATATCATTTTTCTCACTCATGGTATTATATGACTTTTAAATAAATTTTTAAACAATTTTAAGTATTTACAACAGTATTTACAAATAGTATTAATTTTATTGCTCAATTGTTTTCGTATTATTACATAAATATTTTATGTAATAAATAATGAAGAATACTCACAATGAATTATATCAGGGAATTGTTGTTATATAACATTTTGCTCAATAACATTACGTTCATTATTATTTGAGCTTGGTTTTTATACTTGAGTGTTCATTTATACTTTGAAATTGTTTTTATTTAATGAATTATATCATAAACTAATTAATTGCTATACTTTATAATTTTTATTAAATTATATTTAATAAGTATTATTTATAGATTTAATAAATTCTTAAAACAGTTATTAATAATTTAATAATCATTTTTATAATAAATATTAAATTAATTATAATTGATTTTATAAGTACTGTATAACTTTTTCTTTTAATACATAAATATTATGTATGATTTTAATTTATTTTTGAAATAATCATATGCATGCAAATTATCATTCATTGATTAATGCTACATTTTTTATATATAAAAAATTATAAAATGGTAAAATATTTTTCACATAGAAAAATGCAATCAAAATGAATACTGATAAAAACTTAAACATGATCATTTCTGTTAATGTAATTTAATCATATGTTTTCAATTGAAACATTTAAACTAATTAATAATTAGTAATTATTAAAGCATTGACTTTTAGGTGACAAAAACCAGTCTTAAAGTCACTA